CCTTCACTTTACACCCCCGCTCCTCCTCCTCACCTCGATTCTGCTTACCTGCTCGCCTTGAACACCTGGGTAAGAAACAGATACTGTAGTAAGTTCGTAGTTAGTATTTTATTACCAGTAGCAGTATGTCTGTGTAGATTCTCAGTCATCTGGGTCATAGTAAGCTGAAAAAACTTCAACTGCACTAGGTTTTTAGGTTGAAGACGAAACACCACCGATGGGGATAAATATCTCCGACTCGACACCAGTCGAGCAGAACTGATAAAGCCTCTTGGATGAGAGATGAAACGTCTTCGACCTAAAAACCTAGTCCAGTAGATTTTTTTTTTCAGTTCACCAGTAGCAGTAGTAGATGTAGTATTATTAACTGTACTAGAAAATCTTTTTTAGGAGTTGTACTTGGAGTTCTACATAACCATCTCTTACTAGTACAGTACTAAGGTAGTAGTACTATGCAATAGCTGAGTATGTAAAATGTTTGCTGTGCTCCTTTCTGACAAAGCTCCGTCTCCAAAGACCTGATTGGCCGATCACAGTTGTCACTCACAGGACCTGTGCACTCTTCTCTTAGATCTGGAGATCCCAGCTCCACCCCCTCCTGTCTTATTGGACAATGAACTTGGTTTTGTTGACATCATGCCGCCCCTCCCTCCACCAGTGGACTATGACACCAGTCCCCCCCCACACTACCTGGAGAAAGGTACTACTACTGCCATTACTGCTACTATTAGTGGTGCAGAGCTTCCCCTGGTGTCAGTACTGCAATGCTGTGTGTACTCTAACTACAGTTCTCCTATGTGTCCAGTGGTGGCGCTGTACCCCTACGAGGCCACAAAACCTGATGACCTGCCCCTTGCAGAGGGTGATGTCATCTACTTGATCCATCGCCATGGCGGCGGCTGGTGTGAGGGTGTCCTCAATGGTAACCAAGGCTTCTTCCCAGAAAACTATGTCCAGTCGTGTGACTAGAATCAAGCCCCATCTATCTGTTGCCATGGAGACGTTGCCATCTGTGTTATCCTCTACTGTCCCCAGAGGTGAAACACAGGAAGTACAAGAGCAAGCAGTTTAACAATGTGTCATGTCCATCAAAGCAGTATTTATTACTTCAAGCAAACTCAGCACATTAATTAGTAGGTTTAGCATTAACACCCCCAATGAAGTCGGTGATACCATTAAATAAAAATAAATTAATTAAAAGAAATTCAATAAAACTAATCAAAGAATTAAATTAATAAACACATCCATAACACTGATGAATGCAGTACTTATGTTATAAGGGAATTAATAAAAACAAAAGGCGGACTGAATTCCTTCTCTCTGACTGAAAAGATGAACACAGTATATACAGTACATGCACAGAGTGTGTGCATTGGCCAAAAAATATGTGTGGAGAGGTTAAAATCTCTCATTTCTCTCACATCAAACATATTAAATCACATCAGTGTCAGTTCTACAGCCAGACATCAGGAATCACTACTTCAATCTGTTGCACAAAGAAGTGGGAACAATACCAGAAAATACTATTGATGATTGAAAGTAAAACAGAAAAAGGTGAAACAGAAAATGAAAAAACAGAAATGTTAATTATTTAATGAAAAGTGAAGAAAAAGGTGTTAAGATGGGTTTTTTTAATGAAATTGTTTCCAACATCACACATGAACAAAGACATAAGGTTCAGATACATCTGTTAATCTTCTGTTTGTGAGTTGTAAACATTATACTTCAGAGTATAAATCTGATTTTAAGAAATACATTTATTAGCCAGTTACTTCTCAAATATAACTGAGTTTTGTGTTGTATTCTTTCTTTTACAAGTAGAATTTATTGGTCTAAATAATATGGTTTAATTTTTATTTTAAATAATTTTCATCTTCAGTTATGATTAGATTAGATTCAACTTTACTGTCATTACCCATGGACAAGTTCAAGGCAATGAAATACAGTTTAGCATCTAACCAGAAGTGCAGTTCAAATAATGTCCTTTGATTAGCAGATAAAACTCAGGCGCACAGACCTGAACATCAGTAGGTTCTACTGTTAGTACCTCTGTACTCAAATATGATCCCGAACGCAGTACTTGTAATGAAATATTTTTCAGTGTGGTGTGGAGCTGTGTGCCTGTCAGACTGAACTGAGGGCAGCGGTGCCTGAACCCTGCAGGTCAGACACAAACTCTAGACTTCAAACTAATGATCACTATGGTCAGTAATTATTTATGATCAATTACTTTGTTAAAACAGATGTGAAAATGATACAAAACAGTTTAGTTGTGTTCCTATAAAACTGTTGTTAGTGAGGGAGTGAAATGATCAGTAAACCGGAGAATTATTAACATCTTCAGATGATCAATAAATTCATGAATCTTTGAATTAATATCTGTGTGTTGTGTGAGTGTTTACATCTTGTTGTTTCTTACTGAGTGTTTTGGATGTTCAATTCAATTATGTAGTGTCAGGTCACAACAAAAGACGTCTCAGGACACTTCACACAGTCTAGACCTTACTGTTATTACTGATGTAGAGGAAAAACTCAACAAGTCAGATTAACGTGAGCTTCTGAAAGTCCCATTAAATAGCATGCGGCAGGCTGCACGCCACTGGCCGCACGCCACAAGCTGCCACAGGGTCTCCAGCTCAGCACCAGAGAGCGGGACAATCAGCTTGTGGACGTCTGTGTGACAATAGAAATCTCCACCTTTCAGAGTAACCGTCCAACGCAGTGAAGCGTGTGAACGGTGTGAAGCTCACGTCTCGTGTCTGGATTTCATTCACCTTTGGTGCCTCTGAGAATTTTATCAGCGTGCAGTTTTTCCTGCAGGAGGCTGTTCAACGTCGCCTGCCTGTCTGCTTTCAGGTCCCCTCAGTTTAGCAGCCTGAGTTAACCCTGGGAGCTCAGCGTCCTCCCCCATGCCTCTCCCTCCCACCTTCCCTCCCTGTTTGGATGTCTTTACCAGCTGGTAAACAGACAAAATGCTGGCACTGAGTCTTTGTGAGGTCTGATAGGAAGCATGATGGATGTGCACAGCCGTACTTTGAAGTATCAAAAGCAGAAGTGCTCATTATGCTGAAGGCACATTGTCAGAATACTGTCTATTGTATTATTGTCTTACAATTCTCGATGCATTAAATTTACGTGGAATGAACAGCCCAGCACTTTATGTAGTAGGGTCCATTCAACATACTGTTACTTTTGTTATGCTAATTATTCTTCTGTACTTAGGTTTAAAATACAGGACTTGTAACAGTATTCCCCCTCTGTGGTACTGCTGTATTTCGTGATCAGAGTACTGGTTCCTGCTCTGTCCAGAGATTCCCCCCATACATGCAGCTGTCCCACCCTGTTGTCTGCAGCCTCACGGCTGGGCTGTGACAGACATCTTGGCCAAGTATGTTACACACAAGAAATTTGTTTTCAGTACAGAACCAAGGCAGCCATCTGTGGCGCCAACTCAACTGATGGCTCCAACCATCGGGGGCAACTTGGGGGATCAGTGTCTTGCCCAAGAACACTTCGACATGTGGACTGCAGGCACTTAATTATTTAATGAAAAGTGAAGAAAAAGGTGTTAAGATAGGTTTTTTTAATGAAATTGTTTCCAACATCACACATGAACAAAGACATAAGGTTCAGATACATCTGTTAATCTTCTGTTTGTGAGTTGTAAACATTATACTTCAGAGTATAAATCTGATTTTAAGAAATACATTTATTAGCCAGTTACTTCTCAAATATAACTGAGTTTTGTGTTGTATTCTTTCTTTTACAAGTAGAATTTATTGGTCTAAATAATATGGTTTAATTTTTATTTTAAATAATTTTCATCTTCAGTTATGATTAGATTAGATTCAACTTTACTGTCATTACCCATGGACAAGTTCAAGGCAATGAAATACAGTTTAGCATCTAACCAGAAGTGCAGTTCAAATAATGTCCTTTGATTAGCAGATAAAACTCAGGCGCACAGACCTGAACATCAGTAGGTTCTACTGTTAGTACCTCTGTACTCAAATATGATCCCGAACGCAGTACTTGTAATGAAATATTTTTCAGTGTGGTGTGGAGCTGTGTGCCTGTCAGACTGAACTGAGGGCAGCGGTGCCTGAACCCTGCAGGTCAGACACAAACTCTAGACTTCAAACTAATGATCACTATGGTCAGTAATTATTTATGATCAATTACTTTGTTAAAACAGATGTGAAAATGATACAAAACAGTTTAGTTGTGTTCCTATAAAACTGTTGTTAGTGAGGGAGTGAAATGATCAGTAAACCGGAGAATTATTAACATCTTCAGATGATCAATAAATTCATGAATCTTTGAATTAATATCTGTGTGTTGTGTGAGTGTTTACATCTTGTTGTTTCTTACTGAGTGTTTTGGATGTTCAATTCAATTATGTAGTGTCAGGTCACAACAAAAGACGTCTCAGGACACTTCACACAGTCTAGACCTTACTGTTATTACTGATGTAGAGGAAAAACTCAACAAGTCAGATTAACGTGAGCTTCTGAAAGTCCCATTAAATAGCATGCGGCAGGCTGCACGCCACTGGCCGCACGCCACAAGCTGCCACAGGGTCTCCAGCTCAGCACCAGAGAGCGGGACAATCAGCTTGTGGACGTCTGTGTGACAATAGAAATCTCCACCTTTCAGAGTAACCGTCCAACGCAGTGAAGCGTGTGAACGGTGTGAAGCTCACGTCTCGTGTCTGGATTTCATTCACCTTTGGTGCCTCTGAGAATTTTATCAGCGTGCAGTTTTTCCTGCAGGAGGCTGTTCAACGTCGCCTGCCTGTCTGCTTTCAGGTCCCCTCAGTTTAGCAGCCTGAGTTAACCCTGGGAGCTTGAGAGTGGAAACACTATGGGACTTTTTGCTCTGCATTTCACTCTGCATTTCACTGCCGTTTTCTCTCCTGTCTGGAATAAAAGTCTGGAGACACAGAGCACAGCTCACACCATCATCACCACCACCATCTTCACCATGGTCATCTGCACTGGCCTACTCTTCATCCTCTGCACCGTCCTGACTCCTGCTCTCTGCTGTGATTGTCTCAGTCACTATGGTCACTACAGCAACATCTCTCTGATGCTCATTCACAACATGGTGAGTACAGCACTGACTCAAGGTCCTGGGGGAGCTTCCAGGGGCCCTGGAGGAAAATCCAGGTGTCCTCTTAGAGGTTTCAGGATACTTGACTGGTGTTTCTACTGGACTCACTGGTCCTGAATCCTATGATGTCCATACACTTACTGCTGCCTGATGGACTGAACTATTTTTAACTTATTTTCTCTGCCACGCCTTTATGTTTTTTTAAACCGTGTTGTGCATCAACAACAGTCACTGCTGCTGCCTCGGTATTTAACGACGATAATGGTATGAATGGAAACCGGGTGGCGGAGCCGAGGGACTGAACCGACAGTTAGTGGAGGGAGACAGAGGGGAACAGGCAGCGGGCTGCTGTAAAGGGTTAGTTAGTTAGTTAGTTAGTTAGCCCTAACCCATGCATAACGAAGTCTTGATCCCTCTGATCTCACAGCTTCTCTAAACTGGCTTAGTTTTACTGAGGATGACGATATTTTCACCACTGGGGACAATAAATTTAAGCATTAAAATGACAAATTGAGTCCTGTATTGATCCAGTATGGGCAGAGTGTGTATGTCATATTGATCCAATAGAGTGAGGAGTGTTTTATCTAGCAAAGCGGACGATTCCATGTTATTATAAGGGACAGGGGGCCACTATGTTGTGTTAATTTAATGCTGGAAGGAATTTGTGGTGCTGCCTTGCACTGTTGCTGCCAGGCATGTTCCTGCAGTGCAACCTCAGGTCTACAAACAAACTAGGTCCAGAGGACCGACGCAGCCTGTTTTGCTTTGACACCAATATTAGCGTTGTCTCTTGGTTGTCGATTACTTGAAATGTAGTGAAAGTCACATTCAGTTAAATTGCAATTTTAATTTCAAAATGATTAATCAATCAGCTCTAATTAAGAGTAAATAGTTTTGCAGTCTGAATATTTCAAATATTATACTGACCAGGTATTGAGAAGGGTACAGCAAATAATCACCACAATTTTCAGCCTTCTGTGCTTTGGAATTAAAGAGTTAACCTAAGATAGTATGTCTAATGGAGTCTGTGATGGCAATGCTTTTAAAGCGGTCAAAATACCAACCCTCCTGAAAACAAACCAAGGTGGTTTTAGTAGATTAATATTTAAAGACCACTCTGTAGTGTGCCCTAAGCAAAGGTATGAATCTATTATGTTTTAGAGGAAATGGTGCATCACACCACATGGCCTTTTTTTTTTTTTTTTTTTTTTTTTTTTAAAAAAAAAAAA